ATTGGCAACTGTTTAAATCTAATAGCAAGTCTGCCTTCTTTCTAATTAGGCAAACTCCAGGATGGACGAGAAGTAGCAATAAAGCGCCTCTATGAGCATAATTACAAACGAGTAGAGCAGTTTATGAATGAAATCAAGATCCTTACTTGCTTGAGGCACCAGAATCTTGTCTCTCTCTATGGCTGTACATCTAGGCGCAGCCGGGAACTCCTACTTGTTTACGAGTACGTTTCTAATGGCACAGTTGCAGATCATATCCATGGTGACCGAGCTAATGAAGCACCACTCTCATGGCCAATTCGCATGAACATTGCCATAGAAACTGCTAGTGCATTGGCATACCTACATAAATCTGATATAATACATCGCGATGTGAAGACTAACAACATACTACTCGACAAAAATTTTTGCGTCAAAGTTGCAGATTTCGGGCTTTCAAGACTCTTCCCTAATGATGTCACTCATATATCGACTGCCCCTCAGGGAACTCCGGGATATGTTGATCCAGAATATCATCAATGTTACCAACTTACTAATAGAAGTGACGTTTACAGCTTTGGAGTTGTCCTCATCGAGCTCATATCATCAATGCCTGCTGTGGATATAAGTAGGCATCGGCATGAAATCAACTTAGCCAACTTAGCGATAAGCAGGATCCAACGGTGTGCCTTTGACGAGTTAATGGATCCATCTCTGGGATTTGGATCTGATGCTGAAGTCACAAGGATGACTACTTCAGTGGCGGAGTTAGCTTTCCGATGTTTGCAACTTGATAAGGATCTGAGGCCTTCTATGGACGAAGTATTTGCATTTCTGAAGGAGATAAGGGGGGACGAGGAGTTAGAATTTGAGAATAAAATGGAGACTAATGATAATAATAGCGTTCAAAGAGGTGTAAAGATCCCACCTTCACCTGAAACAGATGATGTTTTATTGTTGAAGAACAAGTACTTACAATCCTCACCAAATGCTGTGACTGATATGTGGATCAGTGGCTCTACAACAGCTAGTTCCAGTGGGTGAGATTTTTATTTTCATTTTCTTGTTT